TTATTTTTTTCGTACAAATGAATAAACAAGGTGTCTGTGAGAAAAGTAAATTATATAATTACATTTTTGTAGTTGATCACTCAAACTTCTTACTAACAAACTTCGTGGCTTGACATTTGGTGTAATCTAAAAATGTTCAATTCAACTTCAAAATATTATTTTTCTTCATTAAATTGTAGATTTTATAAGGTATATTTTTAATATCTCGAAAGTGTAGTGAATGGAGTTCATTACATTTTGCAGCTGGTTTGTCCCTGTAAAATCATTTAATTACATGAACTAGTGAGTAAAGTTTACTTAATGTAATTACATGGCTGAATATTGCTGAAATGTATTATATTATCATGACAATATTTGCTGCTCTCTGGTATTTGAATATAAACCCGAAGTATCTACCTTGCCAAAAAAGTTATTATCAGATTCATTTGTTATTGTATGTACTTTGTGGGTACAGAAACTGACAGAAATAATGAAATTCGCACAAAATATTTTTTGGGGGGGCAGTGTTTCTTTTTAATAAAAACTAGTAAAGTAGGATGTCGTGCACATCGTGCGTTGTCTGGTTAGCTCGCAATCCTTCGCTGCTCTACAACAAAGTAAAACGCCTCCTCTCGCAGACCCCGAATCCCTTCAGATCCGAAAGACCTGCGCGGAGTGTCGGCGGAGATCCGCGGCATACGGCGGGCGAAATCCCGTGAAAGGTTTCCGCGGCGCTCTCGTCTCCGCGCGACAGGTGCGGGGCGGGGACGGGGCGGGGATAGGGCGTCCTCGGGAGGCGCGGTGCCGCCCGGGGCGGCGGTGCACTCTGGGGCCCGCGGGCCCGCCCTCGCGTCTGCCTCTGCCCTCGGCGGCCTCGCGCAGCTCACGTGCCGGGCGGTTTTCGTCTCTTCTGCCGTTCTGCCACGGCCCTCTCATGTTCTCGACTTTCGGGATTTTCATCCTCTCTTTCTTCCGTTTGCATCCAAGAGTTTTTTCTTTCATGGTGTGTCAGTCCTGGGAAACCGTCGTTTTGCCTTTTGTGTAACACCTGCCATAACCTCCTTTCTTAGACACCTCTATTAGACTGTTCGGTCTTCTCCTTGTTACGGTCAGCTTTATCCAACACATTTTTCTTTCAACTCGTTCCTTTCTTCATTTTCTCTTTTGTATCATATTCTCAAATATGTCAACTCTATCTGCTCCACTGTTTCTCCATAGGACGCGTTGTCCTCGCCCGTCTTCTCATCGTTCATATTTTGCAGCGCTGTTCACCTCACAAAACAAAGTATTCTCCTCGCCCATCCCCTCATCCTTTCACTTCGCCCCGAGGCTTTCGCCCACTTGTCGGCCCCTCGCACCTACTCAGGCGGCACCCGTTCTCTCCTCCTGCCCCGCCCCCGCCGCAGCCGCCGCCGCCGCCGCCCCCGTCGCTCCCCGGCCTGCGCGCCTCTTCCAGGCCGCACGCTCTCGTGTGTGTTTCGCTTTATATCCTTTCATCCACTTTCGCGCTGCCTTTTATGGATGGAAATTGAATTCCTGCGCGTCTTACCGCCGCGGATAACTTTTCTCTCTCTTCCTCTGTTCGACGCGCCTCGCGGCGGTGGCGGAGGCCTCGGGTCCGAACCCGCCGCCGCCGCGGCCTCTTCCATCGCCTCCGTCGCTCCTTTTATCTCGTTTCCGCCGCGCCTTTCCCGTATAATTTTCCGAGGCCCCGGAGCCCCGACAAATGCCGCGCGACGCCCGTGGCCCGCGCCCGGCGCCTGCCGCTGTGTGGGCGTGGGCGGGCACCGGCGCGCGCGCGCGCGCGAGGGCACCGAAATCTAATTCCCGAGTCATCCGCCGCCTCCTGATGCCAATCTCCATCCGAAACACGTTGGCCGCCGCAGACGCCATTTTGAGCCCCTGGCGCCCCCGCTCCGCCTGCGCCCCCTGCGGCGTTCCGAGACCCTTCTTCGCTTTATCTTCGGCCCTGCGGCCCCGCCCCCTCCTAGACCGCGTGACGCCCCCGTGACGTCATCCCGTGCCCTAGGTCCGTTACCTGCGGCGAGTGCGTCAGACGCCTCTGAAAAATGTCCCATCGATCAGGCGGAGATCCCCTTGCTCCCGGCGCGGAGAGTAATTTCCAGCTCATGCCTTTTCATGTGGTTATTTTTCGTTTACTTTGGCGTTTCGCTGCGTTGCGAGGGGGAAGACGTCTCGCTCATGTGTGCTGTTGACGGATGTTGACATTGAACGCTATTATATATCAAGCCATTGTTCTTTGAAATCTATTATATTTCATATTTGCTTTCATTCTTTTTAAAAATCTCGAATATGAATACATGTAATGATTTTTATCGTTCTTCAGCATAGATGATCCTTATTATGAAACAACATTTCTTAATCTTCTTTTTAATGATACTGATTGATTGAAAGTTAAATATTAGGTTTTGACGAAATACTAGCTTATGAAGTCAGTGAGGATGGGTAGGCGTCAGTTCTTTCTCATAATGTAATTTAAGGAAATTATAAATCTAAATGTTCATTGCTATCGTAATAAAGTAATTCTAAAAATAAATTAGAAAATTAATTTTTAAAAGGGAATTGAAATTAATACAACTCGTCTATGAGTCGGATGCATTCATATTATAATTATAAACAGTTTTTTTGCCAAAAACAATTTGTGAAGGAAAATGTACACGTTTCTCACTGGCGATGACGGAAGAGATTCTGTGGTGAATATTTGAGGAGTATGCAGAGCTTTCCGCTCCAACCCAAGACTCCCATTTCAAGGAAGCCTGTGCGTCTCAGCCGACACAACCCGAGGCGACGGCCTTGCCTCCGCAGCGGAAACGTCAGCAGACAGCCGCGGAACCATATTCCGGAGGCATCGTCGACGTTGACGTTGCAAACGACGCCGTCACCGAAACCGACACAACGCGGCCTTTTCTTCCAACGCCGTCTCCGCCAACGCCGTATCCGCCACCGCCGTCTCCGCCAACGCCGTCTCCGCCAACGCCGTCTCCGCCAACGCCGTCTCCGCCAACGCCGTCTCCGCCAACGTCGTCTCCGCCAACGCCGTCTCCGTCAACGCCGTCTCCGTCAACGCCGTCTCCGTCAACGCCGTCTCTGCAAACGCATCCCATCCAATTACATATCTGTCCCGCCATGACAGTTCTAGTTGTCCACTGTGACGTAGCTACACCGATCTATACTTGGAGGCGAAGCTACGTGCAACTGCGTTACGGACTGGGCCAGTGTACAAGTGCGAGTACGGCTCTGATAGGCTACGCGGGAAGACTGGAGATTGAGCAATAGAAGCCAACTGCTGCGTGGTGTCCAACTACGAACCCTCTAAGTGGAGACGGTAGTTCGGAGAGACCACAGTAGAGCATTACTATAAGGGGGTGAATCCTGTGTAAAATGTTTATTAAAAAAATGAAAGAGTATGTGTGTTTGGAAAGTGAACGATCAAATAGTACGCTAGTTATTAGGCAGAATGGACATATGAGAAAATTTAGTTCATAATCTTCTATTGAGTGTTACTCAGTAGTTTCGTATTCCAGACTGAACGAATTAGTCCTCACATCTGTCTGCTGCGTTCACTGTATACCGTTACAACTCGTTCCAATCTTTGACAAGTTATCTGTTCTTGAAAACACTTGATTTGCTTCTTCTCCGAAACAAATGGTTTTGAATATTTGTATCCCTCCAAAAATCGAACATCCGGAATCAGAACCAAACTCTCAATCTTCGGCCAAAAATTGTCTGTCCATCCACTCCCTTTACCACACCATAGGCCATAAGTTAATGATAGTTCAAAGGACATCTAAGCACAAAACTAAAAAATTGAATTCCTAGATTTGCTTTTCCAAGCACTGTACTTTCCTACATTCTCTTGGAAGGAGCGGTACGGAGAATTCCATGTTGCAAAGAGACGGAGAACACCGTGTAGAGAGGAGTGAAAGAGGGAAGGAACGCGTGGCGTGGAGTGAGGTTGTGGAAGCGCCGCGTCGAGTGAAGCCGCGCTGCCTCTGCGCGAGGTGGCGCCGTAGTGCGTTCCGCGAGCGGCGGGGCGGGGCGAGGCGGGGCGAGGCCGGGAGAGGAAGGCGGCCGGAGCGCTCGTTCCAGAAGCGTCGCGAGCAGAAACCGCGACCCAGATCTTCCCTTCGGTCGCTCTGTTTGAAATTCCGCGGCGCGCGCGCGCCTCTGTCTGTTCCGGGCGGCGCGGCAGGCGGCGTGCCCTCCCCCCTTCCCTCCTCCCCCTCCACCCTCCACTCTTGTGCTCCGCCGCCGCCGCCCGCCGTTCCACGCCTGCTCGTGCTCAGCGATCTCTGACGTTCCGCCCCAGGCGGAGAGGATGAGGATGAGGATGCATTTCAGAGCCCTCGCGTAATCCTGCCGCAGTGCGCCGCGGCTCACTCACCCGGCTGTGCCGTCGCTTATCAGCCCGCGCCGTGTCAAACCGGGGCACGAACTGTCGACCGTCGAGAATAATGGCTTCGCGACGTTTCCAGTCTGCGGCGCTGCGTTTGGAAGACTTGCGATGTTTCTCGGGGACTTTCGAGGCGCTCTGTGCTCGTTACTGAATATCGTATTTAGAGTGTTTCATGGCAGAGGTAGGTTGCTTTGCATAAAAAGTGCTGAAGTTTGGATTGCTCCCTGATGATGTGCCAGAGAATTTTGTGAATTAATTCCATCTTCGAATATTTGTATAAGACTAGTGTTTGAAAAACATGGAAAAACTGATAAATTAGTTCTTTACTAAGATTCTTAATTAATGACATATGTATAATTTGGTATGCATACTTTATCTCTTAGGACATCTGTAATTTACTGTTCATCAAAATTTTATACTCCAGAACTCGTCAAAACTGCCCGTTGTACAGTAGTGTATAGCGGATTGCATATCCCCTACATGCACAGGCGTAAAGTTCCATGGAGTTCTTACGTAGTACGTGAATGTGGTAATTCAATTTCTTAGCTTTTTGAATAAATCACTTAATGAAATAAAAATTAAAATGTGTATTTATTTGTTCCAGGGATCGAGTTTACCGCCTTAACTTGAGTAACATTAGCCATTCAAATTGCGAGGTAAGTACACGTTCTTATTCTATTAAGTGTGTTTACGAACTTCTATCGGAGATAGGTGCACTTCCAAAATTGACTTGGGAAATACATGCTTCCCACATTAAACGATTAGTTAACATGTAATTTTAATTCATAAGTATTTCAGTTATTTACTTTCCGATCTTTTACAACAAACATATTCCATTTCATCTTTCATTCACCAAGCATTTCTGCGATAATTTAAATATTTAAGTTTAAGTTAAAATCATGAAGTTTGGTAACTGAAAGTCGGATACAACATTTGTCCACCTATTAAACATACGTTTAATCAAAAATAAAGTTGGGCGAAAATCTATGAAATGAAAACGCGACTGCAATTGAAGCACCATACCGAGGAGATGTAAGTACTCCCTTCCGCCCGGAATGTCTTTCGGGATCACGTGTGTAGGTAGACCCTGCATATACTCGTGCAAGTTACACATTCATTCAGCAGTCCCTGATTCTTGAACACGCTATTATTTATGTATGCCAGTAGTTAAAATGTATACTTAAGCGCATATTTCATGGAAATACTCAGTTTATATAAACGGAACTCTCATGTTGGCGCAGTTCTCGGGCCCGGAAATGTTCTCAAATTGCGGTGCTCTTCCGCTTCTGCATTTCGTCAGGCGGAAGGAAGCAAGGGGCCCAGTGCGGTGCGGCTCGGTGCTAACGCCGCCTTCGCCGCCGCTGGCGCTAGCGTCGCGTGCGAGGTACGGCGCAGCGCGACGCTGCCGCCGCCGTCGGGGTGCCGTGAATGATGGCGTGTCGAGGCGGCAGTTTAGCGGCAAACTGCGCGACAAACCCGACACCGCCGAGCGCTCCCGTCTCCTCCGCCCGCGCCAGCCTCCGCCCGCCGCCCCGCACCGGCCCGATCCTGAGCTTCTTTGCCGCTCCCGCTCCGCCACGCTCAACTACTCCGCCCGCCTTCCAGTTCTCAAACGTGCAACGCGTGTGTTACCCAACTCTCCAGATGCACAAAATACTCTCTGCTCGGTAGACGCGCGGAGCCTAGATATCGCGTCCATAAAACTGAAGCGTTGTGCCTAGATGTAGACCTTATTTGAAAGTTATGACGTTCCATAGTGCTGGGTGATAAGGAAACTATGTAAAACATCATACGCAATTGCAAAAGAATTGTAGCTCGTCCATTTCCCATTGAGAACACCAGATTCCAAGCCATCACCACAGGACAGAAAGAGGATGTGGTAGTTAACTTTCTTTAAGCAGGATTCTTATGTAGCGGTAGATTATTAGTTTTTTGAACGATCTATCTTAATTTCAGGTCTCTACTTCACAATTACTTCAAGTGCTAAATCCAAGACGCGCCATACATAATTCTTTTTAATTAATAACCCAACATAAAGCGATCAGTGAAATGATTTCTTCACCCTTTACACAGCCATGATCACCGATTTATTCCAATTCTCATTATGCACACTGCGCCTGCATCATTCGGAACTCCTCCTCTCTGGACTATGACCGCAGACAGAGAGAGAGAGAGAGTTGTCTGTCTCTCCTCTTTCTCTCTCTCTCTGCTCTCTCTCTCTCCTCTCTCTCTCTTCTCTCTCTCTCTTCTCTGCACCACACACACACCACAGTAATCCATCCATCGCTCACCTTTCCAACTCGAGCCACATGGCAAATGAAGCTCGTCGCTCCTCCGATCACCACCCCCCCCACTCGCCGGCTCCACCTCTTTCCACTCGCCTGCTTGCCGCGCTCTCGCACGCGCCGCGTCACATCGTTAACCTCCGCAAGATTGATAGCTGGCGCGGATGATCCCTACGAACCGCAGTAGCTTTGTGTGGCCTGCCCCGCTTCCCACCTCCCGCCCGCCTCGCCCCGCCCCCGCTGGAGGAGGCTAGAACGCCGCCGTGGCTGCCGAGGCGGACCTGCCGCGCCTCCGCGCGCGGCGTGAGGTCGAAGACAACCAAAGCGCGCCTCGCGTGACGAACGGGCGCTCCAACTTCACAGGAAGGAGTGAAGGATGAGAGATTGTCTCTAATTATTACGATTCTCTTTCCATGCGCGCTTTTAATTAGCGTTCTCGTTTCGTTTAGTTTCAAACATCCAACGGCTGGGAAGAAGGTGAATTTACCCTTCGCCGGTCATGATATAGTGAGCCGAAGAAGTTACTGTAGTCATTACATTGTTTTCTTTACTGAGCTGTTCGTTCACAGATTTACCGCTCAGACCTCTCGCATTAAGCTCGTTTAACCGTTCCGTAAAATGTGTAGTTTTGTTTTCGATGTTATATCTTCAGAGTTAGGATTCAGTGAAAATCAACTGACACGACAGTAAAAATCGATGGTAGTTGTGTTTACCTTTGCTGTACTCACAGTTTATCTGAACATTTGAGCATCGTCTAACTTTTAGTACTAGTGCTAAAAACTGAACTTTTAATACGCTTGACATTCCCTATATTAACAACTTTTACTAGGGACTGTCTGCAAATATTTTTTTACTCGTGTACCCGTAACTATAGAGAGGAAAGCAAGCTTCCAGAGAAGTATTTTACTGAAACAAATTTACAGATTTCAACTCAGATATTCACTGAAAAATATTCTAAAGAAAAGAGAAGGAAAGAGAATATCCGTTTATTAATTTACGATAATGGCATTAATTTTCAGCGTATATAAATACTGTCTGAAATTCGTTTTTCGTGTCAAATTCAATGATTTAACGTCTTAGTTCAAACACAACGTAAAGAATGTTACGGAACTTTTAGTGGCTATTAATCTTTAACGAAGTAATTATAATTCGTTACCTAGTCATTAGATATGGATAAAAGGAAATTATACTGTTTTAGTTCATGTGTTTTCTGAATCAGCGCTTTTCATATAGAGGTTTAGGAATTATTATGACTATGGAATATTAAAAGAATTACCCCCAAAATGTCGATCGTTGTAAACCGATTCATTGACTAGGGTTGGCCAATTTTGAACAATGAAGACGCATTGAAGCTCGCGGCTGCAGCGGCGGTCGCGATAGCAACAACGGCAGCGGAGGATGCGGGGGCGAGGCACGGTGACTGCAGTCCCGCGCCCGTCACTGTCATTCGCAGACCGGTCTCCACGCCTACACCCACGCCCGCACCCGAGCCAGCGCCCCGCGCCTCAACTTCGGAATTAGGGGCTGCTCCTGGCAGCGACTTGCGGTGGCCTCCGCGGCAGCCGCTTTCTTCCGCAGGCGGTTGCAGGCTTCGCCGACGCCGCGCACGAGCAGCTTTCCCCTTTGCAAACTCCACGACGACCGACGTGACCATACGCTCTGGCGGGTAAAAGGCGAACCGACCGTGCGTGAACCGAGCCCTCGGTCTTGCGCGAATGTCTAATTAGGAGTGGAAAAAAAATGCAGGTGTTACTATCGTATCCGTATCTGGGACGCGTTTGGGTGTTACTTGGCCTGTAAGAATGTCTAGAAGTGTTGGATTCCAAATATATTACGTAAAATATGTGTTGCTTTTTTGACCATTTATTTAATATTAAATGATCGTTTTTGGTTAACGTTGAATTTGTGGTGACTGTTGAAAGATTTAAAATCAATATCAAAGCATAGGACGGTAATTGTAGTTATTCGAAACGATTATTATAATTGTTGTATATCATGAAATTAATTATGGTGATATAATGAATAAAATGAAATATATTTGTACATTTTAAATATAGATGCATTATTTTTCGACATTTATTAACTCACCTGAGTGAAAGTCGATATGACTAATAATTAGGAAAAATCGTTAAGTTTATTTTCTAACGGATTTATCGAACGGTTCCTGATAAATTAACTTACAACTATAGGATCATTCCGCTCAATAACAAAGAGCTCAAAATAAGAAGCATTCTTCCTCTTGGAACATGCCCAAGTTATCAATCACATGCATTAAAGCGTATTCATTGCAATTACTGCATTTAGTATAATCTAGACTTGACTGAGTGATTATATAGCTAATGAATAACATGGTTTACTAACCAGTCGTAACTAGTGCCATTAACGTTGACGAGAATATCGTATGGTACTTAGTATCACTGATACTATTATCTTAATATTTTTATCCTGTTCTCTCCTGACGAATGTATACAAGAGTTCAAATTTCTGAAAACTTCTGTCAAATCTTAGCTCTACATTATTACTAAGTTGTGATTTCGTAATATGACTTCATATTCTTTATTGTTATTTGCACCATTATTACGCGCGTGTTACAAGGCATCCGAAGTGTCGATTCCGACTCGAGCTCTCGGTGACCGGTGGGCGCCGCCTGATTTCGGCGCGCGCATAAATCGCCGATCACCACTCCGACCCCCTCCCCTTCGCCGCATCACCCCGCTTTCCTCCGTCACCGACCCTCCCTTCCTCACCCCGGCCGCCCCCGGCTATTAGCCGGCGCGAGCGTCGATATATGGATCGCCTTCCCGTGTCCGCCCTTATCTGCCTGCGCCCGCCCGTCGTGCTCGCTGTTTCAGCTGCCCCCTTCCGCGGAGAGTGCGGCCCGCGCGACGGCACCACGCGCCCCGCGTCAGGCGTTTGGCGCTCTAGGGCCTTCAGCGCACGTGTGTTCTTTGTAAAAAAAAATTAAAACACGCTATTCCCTTTTGCTGATGTGTTGGTTGGAGGTTTTGATAATTGAAATTGAAATTGTAATTCGTACCATTAATTTCTTCTTTTATCTTAAATGAAGATACGATAAATATTTTTATTATATAAAAATCATATATTTTGATTTTTTCTTCAAATCCGCTAAGGTTATTTTTATAGACAAAGGCTGAATTAATATACCCGAGCATGAGGTTATATGAACGAATGAACTAAACAGGTTATGCTGTGGGCTCAAGTAACCGTACGAAGCACTTCCGTTTGCACCTAATTGAGGAAGCATGCAAATTTCTTAACGTAATATTTTCGTATTTGTCTGTTAAATTGTTCAGTTTACAAGCATTCTGATGAAACATTAATTTCTCATTGGAATGGAAACCTTAATCAGA